TGTGTTCTTAAGTTATTTAAAATGTCTGAATATGTATAATGTGGTTTAAATTGATTTGTATCTATATACATTTGTACAATAAAGATGTTGTTTTATTATAACCTATTTGGAAGGTGTGTATGAGAGATTGTATTTCTCCCTTTAAGGTATTTATCTTTTTAATGTTCCTATTCTGTTGGTTAATATTGTGTTCTTCTTGCCTCTAAATTTTTAAAATTGTTAAAATGTGCTTTATAATCTTATATTTAAATGTTTATTAACTTATATATGTAAAATATATAAATTAATTAAACAAATAATGTAATTTTATACATTTAGTTTATTGTAATATACACATTCAACCCAAACTAGTGGAATGTGATCTTTTTTTCATTACTTTTTTTAATTCATTTTTCAAGAATAAATACAAAAAACAGTGGAATGTGACCTTTACAGGTTATTATTATTATACAGGATTTATATAGCGGCAACAGTTTGCGCAGCGCTTTACAATATAAGGAAGACATTACAATCACAATACAATTCAAGACAAGATGGTAAGGAGGGCCCTGCCCGTGAGGGCTTACTATCTAAAAGGGAGGGAGAAGTGATACATTAGGGGGTAGCTGTGTAGGGATGAATTGTTTGAGTTTGTCCAGATACTTTTTTTTTTACATTCTTTACTTATTTCTGCAAGGCAGGTACAACAAAAATAGCAAAGCACACAATTATTGCAAAGGATGGTAACAAAATTGAACCACAAGAAACATATTAGATACAAAAAAACATGAAACAGAAACCCAAGAAGCAATGAGTTTTTGTTTTGTTCTACCCCATCATAATCTAAAGAAATAAATCTGTAGTGGTTCTTATCTGGCAACCTGGGATAATAACCCAAGCATCCAAAAACGGGGGACTGCAAGTCCAGATACATTTGAATTACCATCTACTTGATCAATATGTAATGCTGCTGTTCTGCCAGAAACATCAATCCTCATCCCAAAAGGTATCTTCCAATCTATCCTGGCTAATTTTTTGAATGATCACTTTGAGCAGCAAATTTCTGTACCCTTGAAATAACCAATTATATATTTAATAGGAAATCCCTTACACATGAATAGATGGTTTAAACCAGTAGTGGTCAACTTAGTGAATATAAAAGGCCTCAAGTGCGCCCCCTGACATGTGTAGAGGGCCGGACTGTGACGATAATGGGGTTTGAGTCTGAATATTAAAAATAGCATTCTCTTGTTCCCCAGTACAGAGCAAATGCACGCCTTCATTTAGTCATTTGCCAGATCTCTCCGCATTCCACAGAACAGAGATCTGCTATCTGGCTTGTGATCTTTATTGATCTTTATTGCCCCAGCCCTAGTGAGAGCCCCACCCCCCCTTTTCCGGGCCTTCCGGGCCTGTGCTGGGATCAAGGGTCTGGTAGGAATTTTTTTGGGGGACCCCATGTTTCCCTCCCTATGTTTTGGGGCTGGGTTTCCCCCTTAAAATTCCTACAAGACCTAAAGGGCCTGGGATGGATTTTTGGGGGAACCCTACACATTTTTTTTTAACTTGGGGGATCCCTCCTAACATTCCTGGTATCAATTGGGGGGGGGGACCACACAATATTTTTGTTTTCTCTTCTGCAGACTAAAAAAAAAAAGATTATTTTTTATGTCACTTTTCTGCAACGAACATTCGTCCACAAACGAAAATTCGTACTGACTACCGCTAATGAATTTCGTCCGAAATGTCGCTTTCGGAAATTCGGATTTGTTTTCATTCGTCATTTCTGTTATTCGAAAATTCGGATACATCCGAATCTCCGAATAACGAAAATTCGTCCGAAAAATAATTTTTTCCAAAACGAATCGCACATGTCTAATAGTGGGCAATAACCCGCTATATGCTGAGTTTTGGGTCATAGGAGGATATTAGTAAATGTATTTGTGTGCCCCTAAAGGAACTATGGCAAAACAAAGTTGGGCCATAGCTCTTTTTTAACCTGCCAGCATGTCTTTGGAGCATGGGAGGAAACCATGCAAACCCCTTGCACATGGTGTCCTTAGCCGGGGACCCTCAAATTCGGACATTCTGATTTTTCCAAATGAAATAAATATCGAAGCTACGGCCAGATCCTTCGGCAGCTTCGTGAATAGACCCCAATGATTCCGAATGTATCTGAATGCTCTGATAATGAAATTTGGATGCATCCACATTTTTTTTACGAATGTCATTCTGAGTGAACTTTTTTGGTTGAACATTAACCTCTTGCTGTCCGCCCGTAGTAAAAAAAACGGACGGACGGCACTGCTGCATTTTTTTCTGCTCGCGCGCGCCCCCTAGCGGGCACGCACGGGCAGAAAAGACCCGACCATTGCACACACCTGTTATCGGGTGTTTCACATATAGGCGATCAGCGGTTCCATAGCCCGCCGATCTCCGTCCGGGCTGTGAATGCAGAAGTGATGTGTATTACATCACTTCCGCATTCACCTGTCAGTCATCTGGCTGCTATAGCCAGAGAGAAGAAGCTGATGAAGCAGATCTCTGCTTCATCAGCTTCTTTTGGGGTCCACAGGTGACATTAGGGGTCCTAGAGACCCCTAATGTCTCCATAAAGAGGACCTGTCAGTGTGCCTTTGCTATTATATAGGGGGATTGTTATCCCCCTATATAATAGCAATAACAATAAGTGCAAAAAAATAAATATAAATAAAAAAAAATAAAAGTAACACATAAAAAAGTAAAATAAAATAAAAGTCACATATAAAAAAAGGGGAAAAAACCCCCCCAAAATGTTTAACTCCCCCACCCCCACGTTTACGCGCCTATAAACGTAAATACGCGTCCGGTGCCCCAGCGCGCAAAAATTACAATTGCGCTACACATGTTACATATCGCCGCGAACGTCGCAGTGAGAGCAATCATTTTAGGGCCATCAATCACTGATAACACTAAACTGATGAGCGGTAACAGCTTTTAAAGCGTCGCCTATGGCCAATTTTGGGTATTATCGTTTTTTGAGGTTTCGCGCGCGCACGCAATTTTAAGGCTTGACATGTTTAGTGTCTTTTTACCCGACGTGACCCCATCTTTTATATTTTACCAAAAAATTGGGTAATAATAAATGTTTTATCATTTAATATAGGGGAAACTGTTTTTTTTTTTAAATTTCGGTAATTTTTCCTTAATATAGTAAAAAAATAAAACCCCCAGTGGTGAATAAATACCACCAAAAGAAAGCTCTATCTGTCCCCAAAAAAGGGTATAAAATTCATTTCAGTACAGCGCTGCATGACAGAATAAATGTCAGTCAAAGTACCGCAGCGCTGAATACTGAAAAATGGCCTGGATGGAAAGGGGGTTTAACACCGCGGATGTCAACTGGTTAAAGGGTCTGGTAGGAATTTTATGGGGGCCCCAATGCCAAAAACAAATGCGGGGGGTCCCCCCTAAAATCTCTTACCAGACCTTGATCCGAGCAGAAGCCTGGCATTGCAGGAAAGGGCTGGGGGGTTGAGGATCATACCAGGCCACATGCCCTCAACCAGTGGGGACAAGGGCTCGACGTGGACAAGAGCCTCTTCCCCACAACCCTGAACCAGTGGTGCTGGCAGGGGCACCTATAGGAATCCAGGTGCTCCCGTCCATAAAGGTTGCTACCCCCACTCATTCACCAAATAAAGTAAAATTGTAAATAAACACATAACACCGTAAAAAAGTCCTTTATTTGGAAAAATAAAAATACAACACAGGTTTTTGACAAGGGGTGGAACAAGTACGACTCGCTCTGCCCGTTTGTTGACATTTGGGAGCAGAGCTCTCATTTTGCGGTAAATATTTGTCGGGATCGTTCGTGTTGGTGGCCGTTGAGTATTTTTTGTTCTTTTAGGAAGTTGGCAGCCTTTGTCGATCGTGATTGATGTGGATCTACATCACTGGACGACGTGAATGACCTTTGGATTACATCGATGGACATTTTTTATTTCTTTTAAAAAAAGACTTGTCAAAAACTGTGTTTTTTTGGTCAAATTAAGTTTTTTTTTTGAACATATGTGTTTATTTACAATTTTACTGTTATTTAGTGAATGGGTAGGGGTAACCCCCTGGCAAAGCACACCCCCTTGTTCTGGAAGGGCATGTGGCATGGTATTATGCAAGGGGGTGCACGCTCGTTCCCCCTTTTCCTGCTGCTCGGATCAATGGTCTGGTAAGGGATTTTAAGGGGGGGGGGGGGGCATGCTTTTTTTGTTTTTTTAGCGTTGAGGTCCGCCTTAAAATTTCTACACTTTTTTTTTTAATTGTTTTTGTGAACTGTCAAAAGTTGAAAAGAAAAATCATGTCACTTTTGTATGTCAATTTTCATACGTAAATATCGTTTAACGCATCTAAATTTAAGGAAAATTTCAGATTTGGACGGTTCTGAATACCAAAACGATTTGACTTTCAGACCTTTGCACTCTGTGTGTTACTTACTACTGATCTCTGCACACTGTGTGTTACTTACTACTGACCTGTAGTAGTAGCTGGCCTAGGGTACTAAACAGTCTAACCCTGTTTATGGCTGTCCAGCGAAGCGAAGGTGATGTAGGTGGATACAGGGGTCATCAACTGGAGGGGTGGGTGAGGAGCCAGGGAAGGATGGAGAGTGGGAAGGGGGCTTATTTTCTGCACCATGGGCCTCTGGGTTGTACTTGCCCCCTGGGCCAAAAGTTGCCAGTCAGCTCCTGCACAAATGGATACCCTAAACAGTACTGCATGGAAGTTGCATTATGTGGCCAGCTTATAAACATTTTTTCCAACATTTGCAGATCATTAAGAGGTAAAATATTTTTTTCCACCATTTTGAGAATTATGGGAACTTTACTATTTACCTGTAGAGTTTATCTATTGAGTAAATTGTATGTGCTTTACAGTAATACAATAATAACATTTTTATGTTATATCCAATATGAAATAAAACCGGTCAGCCATCAAATAGATAACGCAATTTTAAAAATATCCATTGATGAAAAGTTGAGTAGTTAAAAGGATATTTTGTTGTTTTTTGCCATCAGCCGATAGAGGGCCAGTTTCACGTCTTTGTTTTTCAAACTGTAGATTAGCGGGTTTAACATGGGCGTTAGCGCTGTATAAAACAGTGAAAATAACTTATCAGATTCTAATGTGAATGCCGAGGTCGGTCTCATGTACAAACAGAAAATTGTCACATAAAGCAGAGATACAACAGTGATATGGGAGGAACAGGTGTAGAAAGCTTTCCAACTGCCAGTACTGGAATGGATCCTAAGAATCGCTCGGATGATGTAGATGTAGGACATAATGGTGAGAGAAAAGGGCAGGAACCCAACAAACACTGACTCTACATATATCAGACGTTCCATATTAGAGACACTGTGGCAGAGAAGCTTCATAATAGCCAGAAGATCACAGAAGAAGTGGTTGATATCATTCGACTTGAAGCAATAAATGCGATAAACTATAATAGCAGCAGGAAGAACCTCCAGGAAGCCCACAATCCAACACAATGTTGTCATAATTGTACACATCTTCTTATTCATGATCATAACATACCTTAAAGGGATACAAATGGCAACATAGCGATCGTAACTCATGGCGGTTAGCAGCAAAAACTCACAGCAGAGGAGAGCAACATAGAAATACATTTGAGCAATACAGGCTGAAAAGGAGACCTGTTTATTCCCAGAGACATAGGTATCCAGTGTCTTATGCATTGTTACTGTACTGTAGCAAACATCCATAATAGATAAATGAGATAGGAAATGATACATTGGTTTTTGAAGTTGTGGATCTGTGCATATTAGAAGTAAAATTGAGGAATTCCCAATGAGAATAATGAGATAGATGAGTAGAACTTGGAGGAAGATAGGGGCCTGCAGTTGTGGCGAGTCAGTAATGCCTCTTATGATGAAATAGTTCTGCCAAGTAACATTCTTCTCTTCCATCATGTGTGGCTTCCTAAAAATAGTAATTTTATTTACATAGCTGTAAAAGCCCGTAATAGACCCAATGTGCTCATTCTACCGAAGGACCAGAGGTTCCTCCACTTAGAAAAGTGATCAATTCATTTGCAAAATACTGTAAGTGTTTGCTTAGCTTAGTAAATTAAAGGAGAGCTATGAGGTGAGTGATTTCCACTCATCCTCATAGTTAGAGCCGATGTGTGACAAAGAAGCTGTCACAGGTCGGCTCTATAGATCGGGAAGTGAGCGAACACATATCGTCGCTCGCTCACTTTCTGATCATTTCCCTGCAGAGAGCCGTTACTGTCAAGCACCACTCTCTGCAGGGATTCCCCCCTCTACGATCCTCCAGTGCTGACTGGGGGAGAGGGCGGGAACAGCTGGTTCTGCCTCTAGATAGGCAGAGCCCTCTGTCAATCAGCCAGCTGGGTGGATCTCGACAGCATTGTCGGAATCCGTCCCAGCTGCGGCGCTCTCAGTATATAGCAGGTAATAGCTTGCTATATACTGAGCTCTGGGTCACGGGGAGAGGTTAGTATATGTCCTTCCATGACCCTAAAGAGAACTATGGGATAAAAAGGTTACTCCATAGTTCTCTTTTAAGGAAACCAATCTTCACTTTAAAAACCCACTTATGTGCAAGGGACATTAAAAAAAGGGATTCCCCCCCTCCCCTCTTCGATCCTCCAACTCTGACTGGAGGAACAGACAGGGGGAGGGGGTGGGCACAGCTGGTTCAGCCTCTAGATGGGCAGAGCCCACTGTCAATCAGCCAGCTGGGTGGATCTCGACAGCATTGTCGGGATCCGTCCCGGCTGCGGTGCTCTCAGTATATAGCGGGCAGTAGCCCGCTATATACTGAGTTTTGGGTCACGGGAGGAGGTTAGTATATGTCCTCCCGTGCCCCTAAAGAGAACTATTGGATAAAAAGGTTAATCCATAGTTCTCTTTTAAGAAAACCAATCTTCACTTTCAAAACCCACAAATAAAAAAAAAAATAGTTTGCACATGATTGGATGATTGATGTGAACACCGCATCACTGTGCTAAGTCAACCTTCATTTGACTATACAGTTTGCTTAGTTTATATAGTGAATAGCCTCTACCCCTTTAGTAAATCATCCTCACTATCTAGGAGTGTCTTTTTTTCACGCAGTAATTTGAGATCAATAGTTTCAGTCTGGGGTCAGTCCCCTCTAGTTCAGTGAAATGTTTTCTTGGCCAACCAGTAGATATGGGGATTTGTAAACATAACTGCATATAAATGTTTATGCACATGAAAGATGAACTCCTTGCAAACAGCTAAATACACAGATACAGTACATATGTGGGGGCCTTTTTTTTAACCTCCCCAAGGATTTTCTTATAGCCATCCAGTTCTGATATTTACACAGCTCTGCCACACAGGAAAACCCCAGAGATTTTTCTCTTCTGCAGTTAAGTTACACGTACAGACTTGTTCCCCCGCAACACATGACTGGACAGTGAAAGCAGATGCAGTAGACTGATGAGCTCATCTCTCTATCACTCTGCTTTCTTCTCCTATCATCACGTCCCTTGTGAGACAATGGGCACAACAGCACAGCTGACTGGCACCTTGTGCTGATTCCCCATCTCCTTTTGGAGTGCTGCTGTGCAGGCACTGCATGAAGCTGGTACCAGGTCAAACTCATGTGCTTACGATGCTTGTATTATAAAGAGGACATTATATGAAATATTAAAAAACAAAACAAAAAAAAATCAAATAAAAACAACGCATGTCAGTGTACAATGCCAACGCAAGTAAAAGCCCTTGCGTTGAGTCACGTCCAATGCACACATTTCGGTGTGAATGCACTCTAAGGAATAAAAGGTTCCTGGAACTCAAGTGGTTAACAGGGCCAATCATTTTGATCACTTTAATACAAGGAACTGACATTCTAGCAACCTTGCCCTGACTTCAGTCATACTGTGCACACAGCTCCAAGTGCAACTTGTATCCTCAGGTACTGGGAAGAAGAATAATAACCAGTCCATGTAGTTCTTGATCATGTGATCATAGTTAGCCATTTATGTTGTTGACAGTGAATGTTACTTTGTTACAGTGACAATTCTTTCTTCTCCCTTAAAGTGACATTAAGTTCAGGAGTTAAATCTTAAAAACACATTCAAGTACCTTAACTATCAACAAAAATGTATGTTATTTGTGTATCACTCAGCTGTAGATCCTCAAATCATCTCTGAATTGGTGCTGACACTGTCCTTCCTTCTGGAGGGTGGCTACTTTAGTTCCCCATGGTTCCTGCGCGTGTTGTAAAGTAGTCAACGCTCCTGGAAGGACACCTTCCAGTACAATTTAATTAGGCAATGGACACACCTGTGCCACACCCCAAGTTATGTGAACCATTAAGAATTTATAAGCCAAATAATATTGGTTAAACCCAAAATTTATTTTTTTGTGCTATTACTTTTCCTTTGTATTGGCTTATTTATAAATAGCAAACAACTTACTTAAGAGATAACACTTTTGGTAGTTAAATAGAACCTTTTCTTAGATATCTGGACATCAGACCAAAAAGAGGGACAGCTGAGGAGGAAAGAGGAACAGAGGCATTTGGTTCTAAATGAGAGACAGTCCCTTCAAAAGAGGGACAGTTGGGAGGTATGGTAAGGTGAGGCAGTAAACATTTACATTAGTGTGTAGATACTGTTGAAGTCAATGAAGGAAAAAAAAAAGAAACATCCAGGGTTCTTTACACCTTGTGTTTCCTCATTATAGGCCAATCTATCTATACCTTATATTACAGTTGAACTCTGGGCAAAATAAATACAATTACATTTCACCGTGTAACAGGAAGTGTAAAAGTAATGGATCCAGTATCAATAGGTAATAAAACTGTTGCAGGGTAACTGCTGTGTTAATGCTAGTGACAAACTGCATCATATGTCATTTTTTTTATTTTCCTCATAGTTACACTTTAAACTTGCTAGTATCTCAACCCCCTGGAGGTTGCAAGAAAACATTTGTCACTGCCAAGAGATTTTCTTTTTTTTTTCAAAATGCATGTTAAAAATGAAAAGGCCTTTTAAATATCTTAAAGGTTAAAAAAAAAAACTGCCTTAGCATGAAGTTCTGTATCTAAAATCAAAGAATAAATATGTTTTTTTTTTATTTAAATAAAGCTATATGGATAGGACTGGGCAATCATGAGTTATTTTCCTTGCATGCACTAAATGTCTACAAGCAGTACTGAATGCTGGCGTCTTTAAATAATTATACAAATATTCTTGCTCTAGTTATTAATATTATTCTAGTTATTTTGTATTCTCGTCTCATCTGTTAGAATGTGCACCGTGATTTGTAAAAGGATCTCCAGAAGCTTGCATTGTATTGTTTCCTTAGCATTGATATCATTACCTTTGTCTTTTTTTATTTTTAAGTATAAATAAATAAAAGATTTTACTGACATGCTACAGGTCCTGTTTGACCAGTTTGTTAATGCGCCATCAATTGCACATTAACCCTAAACACCCTTTACAAATGAAAAAGAAAGTCTAGACTTTCAGTGTGTTCAGCTTTTGTGAAACATGAAAAGATTCATAATAAACACTGCAGTAATGAAAACATATCATATACATACAAGTACAGCATAGACAAACAGTTTTTATTGTTTTGATCCTGCTCCTGCTACGTAAACGGGTACCTGCTTGATCAGTGCCAGGAGCTGCACTGCTATGCCCTTATGGTCTGAATTTATTATCTGTTGGATGTCATGGGAAAATGTTCTCAAAGGGGACTGATAGCTCTAGAGGTCAATTTGCAGTGGCGCACAACATGGTCTATTAATAAAAGCTGAAAGAAAATGGAGATATTTTTCCTTCCACAATAACTTTTAATTAATTGTGTAAAAACATATATCAAAACTTTGCAGGTATTTTGGATATACAAAATGATTGAAAGCTTCATTAATAAAAAATACTTGTGAACAAGTATATATGAAAACAAGGGGAGCTTGACTGGGGTCCAAAATCAAGTGAGGAATCAGGAGTTAATACTCCCATTAAATATGGCAATGAGGCACTGCTTGAACTATTGTCTACTTGTGTAGACAAGAGAGCTATGTGTGGACTAACTTCTTAATTAGCGTAGTGGTACGGCTTTTCTAATTTAATGAGCAGAAGCTGGTTGGTCAGCAAGGGTAACGGAGACAAATATAATGGCTTTCCCAACACCTCTGTGAAGTGGGTATTACGTACATAAGAAAGTTTTGGCAAAAGTCAAAGTGGTGGGGAGAGAAAGTAAGAGGGGAAGGGGGCAAGGGTTGATAAGGAGGTCAGAAAAGGTGGATTGTAAAGGGGAAGGGTAAATGCTATGGAAGAGGGGAGGGTACGATATGAAAGCGAGGGAGGGGTATGAAAAAGATAGAGGGTGTTCGCTCACAAGAGGAAACATCATGCCTGGGCAGGCAGGATGCCCGTTAAACACCCCACACCATAGGCCCCAAACCACATAAACCTTAATAGTTTGGTTTATTTTATACGGGAATAAAGGAATGTAATGTAGGTCTCTTGAATGGGGACAGACATTCTTCTTTTGTGTTCCATTGTTGATTTGTAAGTGTATCCAGAACCTAGTGAGGGAACATTTGGTGAGTCTATCCTGTGTTTTACGAAGATGTTACGTAGGAGCTCTCACAAAAAGAGGTTTGGTTTGTGGGTTGTTCAAAAAGTGTCTAAATTAAAGGTACAACTACGATTTGAGCTCATTGGGAGCATTCCAATATTCATTGTGCAGCCAACATTCTTTTATTAAATTCCCGGTTAGTCCAGTAAGGAACTCTGATTTCTGTTTTATGGGCCATGGGTAGAGAAAAGGGATAGCTCTTTACAGGTAGAAGTTCTGCTAGGTCCATGGAATAACTCTCACCTGAAAAACGTTTTTGTTTCCGCATGCTAAAATCGTTAAACCGAGTGGAAGCGCAAGAAGTGAGTCACTATTGGAGA